AAGTATTTAAACACCCTGTGACTTTGCAAGTTCTCCTACTTAGAAATCATGGAGGGATCTGAAATTGTCATCTTAAGTGCATGTTCTTGACTATATAATCTAAAAAACAAAACCCGGAAATCACAATGTATGATTTTTTAAATAATTTATTTGTGTGTTACTGCTGCAAATAAGTATTTCAACACCTACCAATCAGCAACAATTCTGGCCTTCAAAGACCTGTTAGTCCACCTCTAAAAAGTCCACCTCCACTCCACTTATTATTCTAAATTAGAAGCACCTGTTTGAGGTCGTTAGCTGCATAAAGACACCTGTCCACCCCACACAATCAGTAAGACTCCAACTACTAACATGGCTAAGACCAAATAGCTGTCCAAAGACAACAAAAACAAAATCCTAGACCTCCACAAGGCTGGAAAGTGCTACGGGGCAGCTGTCAAGCAGCTTGGTGAAAAAAGATCCTGTTGGAGCAATTATTAGAAAATGGAAGAAGCTAAACATGACTGTCAATCTCCCTTGGACTGGGGCTCTATGCAAGATCTCACCTCGTGGTGTTTCACTGATTCTAAGAAAGGTGAGGAATCAGCCCAGAACTACACAGGAGGAGCTGGTCAATGACCAGAAAAGAGCTGGCACCGCTGTTTCCAAGGTTACTGTGGGTAATACATTAAGACGTCATAGTTTCAAATCATGCATGGCACGGAAGGTTCCCCTGCTTAAATCAGCACACGTCCAGGCCCATCTTAAGTTTGCCCATGACCATTTGGATGATCCAGAGGAGTCATGGGAGAAAGTTATGTGGTCACCGTCAGATGAGACCAAAATAGAACTTTTTGGTCTTAATTCTACTCGCTGTGTTTGGAGGACGAAGAATGATGAGTACCATCCCAAAAAACACCATCCCTACTGTGAAGTATGGGGGTGGAAGCATCATGCTTTGGGGGTGTTTTTCTGCACATGGGACAGGACGACTGCACTGTATTAAGGAGAGGATGACCGGGACCATGTATTGCGAGATTTGGGGGAATAACCTCCTTCCCTCAGTTACAGCATTGAAGATGGGTCGTGGCTGGGTCTTCCAACATGACAATGACCCAAAGCACACAGCCAGAATAACCAAGGAGTGGCTCCATAAGAAGCATATCAAGGTTCTGGAATGGCCTGGTCAGTCTCCAGACCTAAACCCTATAGAAAATCTTTGGAGGGAGCTCAAACTCCATGTTTCTCAGCGACAGCCCAGAAACCTGGCTGATCTAGAGAAGATCTGTGTGGAGGAATGGACCAAAATCCCTGCTGCACTGTGTGCAAACCTGGTGAAAAACTACAGGAAACGTTTGACCTCTGTAATTGCAAACAAAGGCTACTGTACCAAATATTAACATTGATTTTCACAGGTGTTCAAATACTTATTTGCAGCAGTAACACACAAAGAAATTATTAATTAAAAAAATTATACATTGTGATTGCTGGATTTTTTTTTTTTTTTAGATTGTCTCTCAATAATTTACAATTTATTTTAAATAAAAATTCCATGCCGATCATGCGGCTCATCCATCAATCAGCTAATTGTGTACCATGTCCAATCTTATTTTGAAAGACCGCGATAGAGTGAGTACACGATAAACGAACCGTGAAGTAGCGAGGGACTACTGTATACAAGTACAGTCCATTTACATTTTTTTCCTTATGTCTTGATGTGATGAAACCCATTCTGACATCTGCTGGCCCCAGAGGAGAAAATATGCTGCGCTGAGCTTGATATCAGACTAAAGTGGTACGAGCCTAAAAAAACTTACTTGCATCAAGCTGTGACACTGTACCTCTCTCTGAAGAGCTGATACTGACGGTGAGCCCACTGTTTAAGGCCATCCAAGCTATATAAATCTTCCTGTTCATCTGGAGCTGGGTATTCTGGCTCTCTTTGTAACCTTTCACTTCTTTTTAATTAAAGAAGCAGGTGCAGGTTATACAGAAATGATAAGAAATGTTGCAACGTTTGAATTTGGATTTCTGTTACAATACATTTTTCAGAACAAACAGAAATTAAAGGCCTAGCAGTCCTTGAGTTAATGCATGTCACCAAAACTAGAGCTTTAAACTGACATCATCTCATGGTTTTAAATGAAAAGACCGCTTTGGTCAAAGCTTGAAAACAGTGTTCTGTGCAATCTCAAGCAATATCACAAGATCTGTTAGTGTTCTGATTATATGTTGGGGATGACTCTCAGCTACCACTAAACCAAACTTTAGCTGGATATCTACCAAATCGACCGCTACAGCTATTTGTATGTGTGCTAAGGTAGATTAGCTTTAGTGGCCATCTTGAATCAGGTGAACCTCAAAGGTTAATCAGTGGTAGATTTACACCCAATGATTATGAGTATTTCATTCAAATTTGATCAGGGGTTCATGAGATATTTTGCTAACACTTCAGATAATCAAACACATGTACACAGAAACAGTCTAAAACATTCTCGCCTGCTTCTCATCGGCTGGTGACAAAGAGTGGCATGTCTAAAGAGGAAAGTCAGGTCACTTGATGTCTGGAGGAGTATTTACCCGATGTGCGGTATTTCCTCTTCAACCACCAACTCAGATAGTTGGTAGTGATGTTTAGCAAGAATGTGTCTGTTGATGACGGATTCTTGTTTCTGTAGGAAAACAACACCACCAGGGTATTTTCACCATGTGTAAAGTGTCAAAGAGAAATATCGGTATTTTTTCTCTTGCATCAGGTCCATTCACTTACTTTTTGAAGGTATTTGGTCACCAAAGCTCTGTGTGGATCCAAATGCTCTTTGGTGTCAATTATCTCTGCTTCTTTGATTCTTTTTTCATATTCCTAAAATCATTCAAACCAACAATAAATAAATAAATAAAAATAATACACTAAATTGTGTTTGTAATTATGTGAGGCGTGAGAAATATTCAGACTCTGACCTGTAACACCTTATCAGAGATCTCACTCTCGAAAGCAGGCACAAATTTGTAATTGCGAAACTCTGAAACTTCTTGGTTCCTCAGCGTGAGCAGGCAAAATCTTTTAGATTTTTCCATCTCTTCCTTGGTCACAAAATTAAACTCTTCCTGCAAATGTTCCAGGCGAAAGTACTCTGGAGCTGTTACCTCTCCACTGCTGGCCACCTGTGGACACACAACAAAAGATTTCTCCTCCTATTCAGTTTTGTGAATCTCCAGAAAGAAAGTAGTATACTGGAACTCACTTGTAGCAGCTGCATGATGGAGGCGTTTTTTGGATCATTGGGGTCCAGTCGTGATTGTGTGGCCCACTCGTTGATTTTTTTCATGTCATATAGCCCAGACGCCCCAATACATGTGACAGCATCAAGATGGCCCAAACACCTAGGACATAGGACACAGAACACAGAGGGACTGATACTGCAACAAATAAACAGCCATGGCTGCTTCACTTTGCTCAAAGTTGATCAATTAAAAATAACTTATTTTGTTTTGTTTTTCCAATTCATTATAACAAATGAAAGAGATATTGTTTTTATAAGGGAGCAGCTGAAAGCTGAGTCCCAGCTTTTTATTCCAAAAATACCTCCTACAATAATTAGGAAAAAAATGCACAGTATTACAAAACTAAAAAGTTCCTGGAGAAACTTTGATGGGGGCTGCCACATCACGGCCATTTAAAATACTTGATTTGACAGTACTATTTTTGATTCAATTCAGTTTATTTATATAGCGCCAAATCACAACAAAGTTGTCTCAGGGCACTTTACAGGAACATTCACATACTTAGAAAAGCCAATTAGTAAAGTTCTCTATCTAAGGAAGCCAGCAGACTCATTGAATCTTCACTTTGTTGCAGTCTCCCATCCTGAGCAAGCACAATGGCAAGGGTGGAAAGGAAAAACTCCCTTTTAAAAGGAAGAAACCTCCAGCAAAACCAGGCTTAGGACAAGTGGCCATCTGCTTTGACCAGCTGGGTTATTATGTGTTGTTATTATGTGTTGGGGTTCACTCTCATCTACCACCAAATCAAATTTCAGCTCAATATGGAAAAAAAACCCAATGAGTTATAGTATATTTTTATTTTAATCTATGGCAGCCATCTTGGATTTTTTATTTGGATTCAGCATGTGATAGGACACATTCTTAGCTACACCAAATTTCACATCCTCAGGGATGTGTGCAGAGCCCTCACCTATTCACTCTGCTCACATATTATTGTGCAGCTACCCATCCAGGCTGTCATATTGTAAAGTTTGCAGATGATACAGTGGTGGTGGGATGCATCACAAACAATGAGTCCAGCTACAGGCAGGAGGTGGAACACCTGGAGAGCTGGTGCAAGGAGAATAACCTTCACATCAATGTGAAGAAGACAAAAGAGATGATCGTGGACTTCAGAAGGAACAAACACACCTACACCCCCCTGAAAATAAGAGGATCTGCGGTGGAAGTGGTCTCCAGCTACAAGTACTTGGGTGTACACCTGAATGACAACCTCAGCTGGGGCAAAAACACCACCAGCCTGATCAAGAAAGCTCATCAGAGACTCTACTTCCTCAGGTGGCTGAGGCGAGCTGGTCTGGGAAGCTCAGTCCTCACCTCCTTCTACAGGTGTGAAGTGGAGAGCATCCTGTGCTCCAGCATCAATGTGTGGCATGGAGGCTGCACAGCTGCAGAAAAGCTTTGCAGAGAGTGGTGAAGGCTGCGCAGAAGTCTGTTGGAGTCAATCTCCCAACCATCACAGACATTACACCTCTAGATGCAGGAAGAGGGCCACCTGTATCATGAAGGACCCCACTCACCCAGCACACACACTTTTTGCCCCACTCCCCTCAGGAAGGAGGTTGAGGAGCATTAAGTGTAGAACCACTAAACTGAAGAACGTTGGTTATGTACTGTAACCCCAGATTCTATGAGTATAGGTGTAGCCCTTTAAGAGCTGTCGCTAGTGGGTTTTATCTCGTCATGCAAAGCATCGCACTGAAAAAATTTAGTCCATGCCCACCTGTTGTGTGGGCCCCACTCGGTCCGTATAACTTACGTTAAGAGCGGGTAATCGGCTCCCAAATAGCTTTTTCTTCAGCCATTTAGGAGCTAGTGAGGCCCGACGCTTAAAGGGCTACGCCTATACTCATAGAATCTAGGGTTTCAGTACGTAACCAACGTTCTATTTCGTATAGGCTTTGCCTTTTAAGAGCTGTCGCTAGTGGGTTAAGGGCGAAGCAGATGTAGTCCTTGCCTCACTGGGTCCATTCGAACACCATACGAAGCGGCAGCTTGCCCAAAAACGTCTTGTCACTCAGCTCTCCATGTGCGTAATTACACGTTGCGTAATTATGCGTACATTGCACAGACGCATGCTGTGTAGCTATGCGTTCTGAGTGCATGAACACCCCAGAAAAGCTTTTAACGGGGAAAGGAAGATGCTGAAAAAAGGCCGTGAACCAAACAGATTCACGGCTGATCAATATGAACAGATTAATAATAACAAGTGAACTGATTATTAATCAAATGAACTGATTGGTAACAATAGTCATGAACTGATTAGTGACAATAGAATAAGAACAACAGTCACAATTTGTGACTGATAACAACATCAAACACTGTAATGCACACAGTCAGATGTGAGTTTAAATGAGGTTCCATGAAACAACAATATTCATTCTGTTAAAACACTAAGGACAGAATGTGTCATGGAACGAGCCGTCACATCACGTAGATAAAAGCGAATAAATGAGCAGGGTGTTGACCACGCCGCCGCAGAGCAAATATCCTGCATTGTCATACCATTATGCAAAGCAGTCGAAGATGCGATGCCCCTGGTCGAGTGCGCCCTGAGGTTATCAGGCGTCTCTAAATCTGATGCTCTGTAGGCTTCAGAAATGGCCTCACACAACCAGTGTGACAGGCGCTGGGTGGATAACGGGTGACCTGCAGATGCATCTCTATAATGCACAAACAAATGTTGAGTCTGATGCATTGCGGCCGTGCGTGCTATGTAGCACGTCAACGCCCGCACAGGACAGAGAAGATGGAAAGATGCTTTTTCTTCTGATTTGGGGGGAACCCTTTAGCAATATCGCTCTTGATTTAAAAGAGCTCGTGATGTTTTTAGTAGGGATGCACCGATCCACTTTTTTTTACTTCCAATCTGATCCCGATACCTAAATCTGAATATCGGCTGATACCTTGATGCATGCTCAATAATCCAGGTAGAAAAATCCAAAAAAGTTAAATCTGGTCCTCTGGACATTCAAAAAAAAAAAAAAAAAAGCAAAACAAAGCAAAAAAAATTTCTAGAAACGTTTCGTCTCTCATCCAAGAGACTTCCTCAGTCTGAGGTGCTGTTTTCAGCTCAGTCTCTTAAATAGCACCTTCTTAGAGTGGATCAACCAGTTTGCTGCTGACAACCAAAACCAGCTGATCACATGCTCAAGAAGGACCATCAGCCTAACAATGGGTCATTAGCACACTGATGGCTGTTTACTACTCACAGAGGGCTGAGTGATACTAGCAATCACAGCATTGTAAGAGGGGGACAATTGAACCCGGAGGCCTCCACCCCTGTTTAATGATGGACGATTTCTTTTCACAAAGATGGCCTCCTTTACTTCTCTCTCAAACCATCGTTCCTCTCTGTCCAGGATGTGAACATCTTCATCCTTGAAAGAGTGACCGCTGGCCTGGAGATGGGTGTAGACCGCAGAATCCTGGCCTGATGATGTTGATCTTCTGTGCTGGGCCATCCTTTTGGCCAGTGGCTGTTTAGTTTCCCCGATGTAAGACTGATCACAGCCCTCCTGACACTGAACAGTGTAGTGAACTAAGCCTCAGGTCAAAACCTGACCCTGAGGACCGTCGTGGGACAGGAACTGTTATTTCATTGATTTGAGTCCAGAAATATAAATTAAGCTCATCCAGAGACTTTCTAAGTGTGTCCTGCACTAATCAATTGAAAGAACACTCTCTTTTTATTGTCATTACTATTTTTACGATATCTTGATAATCAAAGTGTGTTTAGTTCAAACCATTTTAAATGTTGAAGTGAACTACTCATTTTAAATCAACTGTGAAACAGTATTAATGATTTTTTAATCCTCATTCAAAGTAGAAATCAAGTTAATGTCTGTTACAGAGTAATTATGCATTTTTTGATCTTCTGTCTGAAATGAGAAGGAGTGATGTCGGTCAAAAGTCGGAGACAGTCGCAAAGAAGTTATTGGAATGAACTGTCATGTTTTTAAACCTAGCAGACGGTAAACAAGAGAAGCTGGCACCTGTGAGTCTCTCATTTCGCCATAACATTTCTCTGTCTGTTCTTAAAACATCTCACTGTTTTTCTGACTTGTAGTAACCTCTTACGTCACTAAAACCACACCCCTGTTGGTTCTTTCAACCAATCAGGATTTCCCAAAAAAGGGACCGGAAGCGAACTCTTTAAAAAGTCGACACTTCCTAGTTCCAGTCAGTTCAAAGTTCAGAGAGAGAAGAGTTCAAAGTTCCGAGAGAGAACAGAAGTTCTGGGGAAGAACAGAAATTCTGGGAGCAGAACCGAACGAAAGTTCTGAAGTGCTGGAGTTAGTTGGGAGTTCTTTCGAGTCTCGTGGGGATTATGGAATCTTCCACATCTGAGTGGAACTCTGACGGGCTCACAGCTCATGTGAGTCCACCTGGGAGGTGAGCGTGCTGTTGAACGAAGTACCGTCACTACTCCGGACGTTTCTCTGTTATCCTACGGAGAAGCTGAAATGGTAACGTTGAAAGAGAACTCTACACCGAAGCTGAGATATCTTCTGCAAGGTAGAGTCGATTTCCACTACTGAAGTGTACCGAGGTAGAGCTGGGTTCGAATGGAGGGTGTCGTTCTTCGTCAACACATTTTCCCTCACACATCTTTTCTCTCCATTTAAACTCCTTCATTCCCCATCTTTAAAACTCTTCTATCTGCCAGTAAAAGATAAGCTAAGCCTGCAGACACTTATTTAAGACCTAAGGATATGTCTGTTGTATTAAGTTGCAAGTGAGAAATCATGGCCGTATGATTTCTCATTGTAAAGCTCATTAATTAAGCTGTGTTAATTGTAATCAATCTGCCAATTAATGTAAATGTGTGATGTGATTTAAATAGTTTAAAATAAACGACCCACTGTTGTTGGTGAGTCAGAAATTTAAACACGTCTCTGTCCACATTTACTCCACAAAGCACGATATGACTTAGTCCAGAAAAATGAAAGAATCCGTTTAAATAAAGGATAATATCAGACGCATATTATCTCATTACATTGTAACCAAATTTAAACAATCTCTTCCATCAATGTTTTCCTCTGTCTTGCAGAGTAATGCATCAGAGAACAGAGACTTAGATCATCTAGTTGATCATC